TCAACCTATCCCCAACGGCATCAACGATATGTGGCAGCACGCCTAACGACGAATTCCCTCCATCGAGCTGCCTGCCTCCATGGTTACTCACAACGACGCCCTGCACGCCAATTTCCACCGCCTTCCTCGCATCAGCCAAGCTCTGAATGCCCTTGAGCACAATCGGCCCATGCCAGTGTTTCTGGAGAAACTCGACATCCTCCCAACTATGGCTCTCGCCCGGGAAAATCGTCCTCATCCATTCTGGCGCCGCAGTCTCCATCTTTCGTTCTACATCCACGCCATGTCTCGCTTTGAATTGTTTCCGGAACACAGGATCCGTCATGCCAAGTTCTACGCCTGTGCGGTCGGCGCGCATGAAGGGGTTGTACCCGTTGTCCATGTCTTCGGGTCTCCATCCGAGGATGTACGTATCTAGAGTTACAAACAGAGCTGTAAAGCCGGCGTTATTTGCACGTTCAAGTAGCGAAATGGTGATGTCGTCGTGTTCGCGTGACGGCCAGTAGAGTTGGTACCAGCGTTGACTGTTGGGGCCGTTCGCTGCGGCAGTATCTTCTATACTCGTACTACTTGCCGTACTTAGGATGTACGGGATGGCTTCTTTGGCTGCTGCTTTTGCAGCCGCGACCTCGCCTTCTGGGTTGAAGATTTTGAGTACACCGACGGGCGCCATGGCGATGGGTGCTACCATCTTCTCCCCAAAGATCTCGGTTGTCAGGTCGGGGAAGCCGTCGTACTTGACTAGGCGGTTGGGTACAATCGACCATCTTCTAAAGGCACTGCGGTTCTTGTCTGTGGTCTCCCGTACGCCGGCGGATCCGTATACGTAGCCTTTTGAGTCGGCTGACATGCGACTGCAGGCCAGCTCTTCCCATTTGTCAGCCTGGAAGGTGAGCGGTGGGCGTTCAAAGTCCAGTCCGCGCGTATATGTCTGCATTTCGTAGTCGACGGCATCTTGCTCTGGCTTGCGAGTTTGGAACTTGGGATGGTGTTGGGTCGCTGTAGGTTCGGACATGGTGGCTTTGGGTCTCTAACGGGTTGAAGTGAGGATTGAAGTGAAAAGTCGCGAAGAAACCTTCCGAGGGATGGCGTATGGCTAATGCACGTCACACCATGGCAGCTTCGCGGATACTTTCGGAAACGACGCAGTGACGTCACGCGCTGTCATGGCAAAGCACCTAGGTATGCCTAAGCATGCTGACAGATGGAGTACTTGCGGACACAGGTCCGTGTGGTGATGCATTTCTACCCGTCTAATAAAGTGCCTCTATGTGTCGGCTCCGTGATGACAGCCTGCGCAAAACATGCAGCCTCGGCCTGTGAAGAAAGGCGGGCATCCCAAACTCCATCCATGCAAATGACGACCATGGCAGTACAACAAGCAAGGCTACGTGGAACGTCTAGACAGCGACACAGCCGCCGTCAATCTTCAGGTGGCCGCCCGTCATGAACTTGCTGTCTTCGCTGACGAGGAAAGCGACGACGCTGGCCACGTCGTCGGGGCTGCTGAAGCGGTCGAGGGCAGTCTCCTCCTTGAGCTCGGCCAGCTTCTCCTTGCTCCAGCCGTCCTTGTAGCCGGGGGTCTGGATGATGCTGGTGTGGATGGTGTTGACGCGGATGTTGAGGGGGCCGAGCTCCTCGGCAGCGGTGAGGGCAATGCCGCGCAGGGCGAACTTGCTGGCGCTGTACGAGATGAGGTTGGGGAAGCCGCGCAGGCCGGCGATGGAGGAGCGGATGATGATGGAGCCGCCGGCGGCCGTCGTCTGCATGGCGGTAGCGGCGTACTTGACGCCGAGGAAAGCTGGCAGTGGTCAGCGGGTCACGTGGGGCCAGGTGGGGTCACGTGGGCGTACCAGACTTGGCGTTGATGGTCATGATGCGGTCAAAGTCGTCCTCGGTCACGTCGAAGATGCTCTTGGACTCGCCGCGGTGGCAGCAGTTGAGCAGGGCGGCGTCGAGCCTCTCGAAGCGCTGGACGACCTTCTTGGCGCAGGCCTCGACGTCGGGCTCCTTGGTGGCGTCGGCGACGATGGTCAGCAGGCGCGACTCGATGGGGATGCCCGTGGGGATGGCGGCCTTGAGCACGGGCACGGCCACCTCGAGGGCCGTCTGGTCGATGTCGATGAGGGCGACGTTGCAGCCCTCGATGAGCAGGCGGCCGGCCGACTCGACGCCCACCTTGCCGCCGCCGCCCGTGATCATGACGACCTTGCCCTCGAGGCGCTGGATGGGCAGCGGGCGCGTCAGGTTGGTCGACGTGGGCGCGCGCTCCATGCCCGGCCGCGGGGGCTTGTTGAGGTTGAGCGTCGAGATGGCGGCGCCGGGCGTGCGCAGGCTCTCGGTCGTGTTGGCGCGCTGCATCGTGTGTGTCGGCGTCGTCGGCGTCGTCGTCGGGCTGGGGAGCGTCCGCGATGCTATTTCTACGTGCGGTGCTCCCTCTCACCGGACCCTTCGTCTCCCTCAAGATGACGTAGCGCCGGGGTTCCCTAGGCGAAATCTTTTCTGTAGCCCGCGCTGATCAAACCCGTCCGTTGAGCCTCCTGCTGGCGGCCGGACCCACCGCCCCGCCCTGGCAGCCAATGCCGCCCGCCGACGCCATCACTTATCGCACCCCATGCGCACCGCGGTGGGTGCGGTGGGCAAGACACCTGTCGTGTAATCTGCGCCGTTCCACCACTCAGTGACGCCCGCCGCCGCCTCCCCCAGGTGTTCGAACAAGGCGGTCAAGCACTGCGCTATACTGCCAAAGCGGCAGGTAGTCCGGATCCATTCGTCAAGCTACTGCCCCGTTGCGCCCGGGTAACGCGGAACTTAGGTACATGGACACGTTGACATCCCCTTCCTCTCCCACAACCTCGCACTCACCAGTCCAGGAAGTAGTCGATGCCGTCCGCCAGAGCTGCCGCGCCTACTGCCGCGTGGTCACTGGACGGGTACTCGTGGATGCTGACATCCCTCAACGCCGGGCTGCCCTCCAGCCTGCTGTACAGCTTCTGGCTCAGATCCGTCATGCGCTGCGGCACGAGGATGCTCTGCCTGAACGCAAACTCCGCGTCCGTCTCCGTCCGCCGCTTCACCAGCTTCTGTTCGAGCGCGCCATAGCTTATCTGGAAAGCAGGCTTGGTCGCGTTGGCCGTGTCGCTGGCCGAAGGCGACACCAGCGGTGCGAGGAAGTCCGTGTTGTTGAAGACGTAGTCGTCGTTGAAGAAGAGGGCCGGAGAAGCGCTGAGGAACGTATCGAAGAGATCAGGCCGTACCGTGAGCGCATACAGGACGAAGAGTCCGCCAAAGGAGTGGCCGTAGAGTGCGTCGCGGTCAAACTCAGCTTTCGGGAAAGCCGTCTCCTGAACCCATGGCCGGAGAGCGTTGTCGATGAACTCGATGAACTCATCCGCATTGGACTGCACGCCAGGCACCGCAGGTAAGGGGCAGCCATCGCAGACTGGAGGCTGGAAGTCGTAGCTCCGCTGCGTGCTGTATGGTGAATCTTCGATGGTCTCCGGGTAGCCTATGCTGACGACAATGCAGTCGGGCATGTTGAACTCGACGGGACGGCGGCGGCGGAAGGCTTCTGTGGCAGTCATACCCAGAGCATTGCCGTCCAGGACATACCTAGTAGCCGTGTCAGTCCGAAACCCCGTGGTGCCGCTGCCGCTGCCTGTGTCCTTACATTGTCTCCACAGTCGACGTCTCCTCCTGTGAGGTCCAGTTCAGCGGCCATGCCAGCTGAATCTGGTATTCCCAAGATCCGTTCTTCGCACTCCAAAACCCTAGGTTGGGCAACACATTGGTAGGAAACTCGGTCATGAGTGGCGTGAACTGCCAGGCACCCAGTGAACTCATCCTCGCGGTTGTAAAGACGGTCCGTTTCGCGTACTGTTCAAATGCAGGGCAGACTACCTTCCAGCCGGAAAGTCGTTGGTTTTAGTACCGCACAACTATCAGAGTAGTCGTCCTAGAAGTATAGACCCAAGGCGCGGGGTGCCAGCCCGTGTTCTATGCACACATCACGCCGCAATCGCAAGGGTCCCGCACTAACTTTGCTGTGGTGGGTTAGCATGGACGCGGCATGGCATTCTAGTCTCGGTACCTGTACTCTGACATCCCAGCGCCTTATTGGGACATGTATATATTGCCAAGACGGGGGATTATCCTTGTTGTCTCCCGTCTCTGCAGTCTGTTCGCCTTTCGTGATGATATCAACGTGACTGGACATCTTGTGACACGGGTCGTCGTATAGGATCTCGATCTGCTCAGGCGTCCGCTGCTACAGTCTCAAATTAGTGCGATGGAATTGCGAGTCAAGCAGCTATCCAAGTGGAGGAGGCGGGTCAGAAGAGTTCGTCTGCGTTCTGGCTCTTGAAGAACGGCGGTTGCATGCGCGCAGCCGACGAGCCCCAAGCCTACTCGACGGAACTATCGAACGGCAAACCTGGCTACATCGCGTCAATGCAGAAGTCGTGATCAGGTCGCGATACGCGATGAATTCATTCGGGGGGATGTCTCCGGTGCAGCTAGGTGCGCTACATCCACGTGCTCCTACCATCGCAGATGCAGCCGCTGTCACAATCACTTCGGCAGTCCAATCGAATGACCGGGATATCGATCTGATATAACCGTTGCGGTGGGTTGTCCTTCGTCGGCGTTCTTACAAACAGTCGGTTGGCGCAGTCCTGGCTCACGACAAAGTTCGTTGGTTGGCGTCAGCGCATCGGGCCGTAACCATAAACGTTAACGCCATCCGGACGAGGCAGGTCCTGGGGACCCAAGTGCCGGGAACACAACCTCTTCTGACACAGACTCAACGCCGGGTTCAACGGCGAGTCATCCAAGATTTGGATTTGTGATCTTATGCGACCAATTACGAGAGGATGCAGCGATGCGAATCGCATGAACGCAGACGACGATAGTTAGAACAAAGCGATGACAAACGTCACAAAGGTGTTGCTGAATAACATGCTAGAAGGGTGTCTACTTGATACAAATGTAACCATCTTTCTTTAAAAAGCACCTCGTCCAGGCAGCGGATCGTTTTTCGCGGGGCAAGATGCGTCATAGATTGTCGGATTGACAAACTTGGGCATAGGGTCGTTGTTATAAGCCAGCTCGACGAGTGTAGCATTGCCTTTGCACGTGTTAGCGTAGAAACAGGCGTTCGGGTGTTCCCAGTGCTTACCCGAGTTATACATCGGCCATCCGTACTTGGTCAACCCCTCCTGCGAATCACGGGCAAACGCAGCCCAGGCGCCCTGGACATGCTTCATATACTGGTTCTCAGCAGGAGAATTGGGCAGGCCAGAGATGTCTTGAGCGGTACCGAAGACCAGGCCTAGGTCAGAGCCGTGGTAGGCCGCGCTTCCTCGAGGCCCGAGGCCTGCGCTGCCGTTGTAGAGGCGAAGGTTGTCCCAATCTCCGTGGTATCTGTATCGCCAGGTCGGTACGTCGTACTGCGCCCTGTATGCAGCGGACAAGGAGGATGGGCATGTGAAGCCACGCTGGGTGAACAGATCCCATTGCGCGTTGGTAAAGTTCAGCTTGGCCGCCCACCCTGAAATGCGATACCAGCCGTCTTCGTGGTCCGCATTGCCGACCAAAAGCGGAATCTTGGCGAAGGAACCGTCCGCTGAGAGTTGCTGATAATCCGCAAAAACCGTCATGTTGTCGACGGTTGGATGGAAGGTCGCTTGAGTCAGACCGACGCTGGGAAGACCAGGAACCTTTGCCGAGGCAGCCAGAAGAGCAGACATGTTTGCAGAACGTACGCAAGATACGACATCGGCAGAGTCATTGGCAGCACCCCCACAACCGATGGTCTGGGACACATTGTACCAGATAGACTGCGAGTACTCGACTGTGTTGGGAACGAAGCTCAGTGAGGTTCCAGACATGGGGATGAGACCCGACACAATTGGGTCGTTCTTCCAGGCGTATGCCCAGTAGTCGACAGCGGCGCCACCTGCACTTTGTCCAAAGATGACGATGCGCGAAGGGTCGCCTCCAAAGCCAGCGATATTATCGCGCACCCATTCGACAGCGCTACGGTGGTCGCGCAGGGCCGCGTTCTTCTCAACACCAGGAGCACCAGCGAAGCCGAAGATGCCCAATCGGTAACTGACCCAGTCAGTAGGTGTAGGGTCGACCACAGCGGGTGTCTTACTTGAATGTCACAACAACGACATCCTCAGCGTCGGCCAGATACTGCCCGTTGTAGAAGGGAGAGTGAGGGCCGGGGATCTGGAAACCTAGCGTGGCTGTTAGAAGTCATCCATGACAGCCGAAGGGACCACGTACGTCCTCCGTGAAGAAACACCAGCACTGGTTTCTTTGCATCGGCATCACCAGCACTCGCCGTCCAGACATTGAGCTTCAAGCAGTCCTCGGACACCGAATTGTTGTTCTGAGCTGCGAAGTTCTTCCACACACGCAAGCCGGATGGCTGTGTGAAGTTGGGGAAAGCTGATACTGGCGGCTTAACAGCAGGGCAGTCACTGTAAAGTCATTAGACGTATCCTACATGTTCGAACTCTCAACATACGGAGACTACAGTCTGTCAGTGATTGAGCAATACCCAGTGATGTCGTGATTACTGACCCACTCGGATGCCTCGAAAACGGTTCCTTTGGGCGCGTCGAACTTCTTCGGCGCAGCAAATCTCAGTTCGCCGACTGGCGCTTCTGCATATCGAATGCCCAAGAATTCAGTCACACGTGTCTTGTTAGACGATGGGTGACCGATCAAGGTACCGCTCGACGTCTCGATGTTGGAGCCATTCTTCGGCGCTGCGACGGCCGAACCGAATAGCGAAGCTACAGCTGCAGCGGTAAGGAGGAGGTGTTGCATAATTTCAACTCGAAACAGCAACTACCATGCGCTCGACGGAATAACTTCAAACAGCTGGAGGGCGACCAGCTGACTTTATTGGAGCGAGATGTAAATCACGGCTCGGTGGGCAAGCTGTTAGCTCCACGTTCCTGCGTTGCCAGCCGTCGTCGATGGGACAAACAGGGCTGCAACCAGACAAAGCTCCGACCAGACAAAGTCCCGAGGCAGATGGCAGTGTTGCGAAGGACTCATGCCGAGTGCGCGCGGTCTTACGCCGGCGTCAAAAGCTTCGACGTTGTCAGACAGGACGGGTACGCACGAGGCTTCATCTCGGCTGCAGCCCTAGCAAGGACAACACTAGTCCCAATGCGCTACCCGTCTCCCAGTCGCCCGGAACCTTTCGATCTGGCGGACCTCTCCATCATCGTGACATACGACCCCGAACACTTGGGACATTGATGCTGTTCATTCCGCTCAAGCCTTTGCTTTTTCGATACAACTCAAGACCCAAACCTGACGGGCGTAGGCGATGAGTGCGATTTGAGTACATCCGGCACAATTCCGGGCACCGCTGATCGCCATCTGATGTCACCCACCCATACCTGTTCAGTACACTGCACCGAGCCGATTGGCAGTCAGCCCTGGCATTCACGGCAAACGCCTGGACCGTAGCAGGGAAAACCCTGAGCGCGCACGGCATTGTAGAGATCGACATGTGTGGTCCCCGAAGATTGGGATACCAGATCCAATCGCGTCGGATACGAATGCAGAGAAATTCGCCGTCAAAGCATTCCCGTGATGCCCCCACGGAAGGGTCATCAGCCGCTGCACACCCTATACCCTGCATCGCCGTATCTTCAGGGCCGGGTACCTGGAAAGTCCCATGCTGCACGAGGCCCATTAATGATTATACTGTAGGCTCCCGCTGTTCGTGGGTCATCCACAGGACTTGCTCTCCAAAACTTGAGTGTACCCTCATGCGACATGGCTCCCAACGTCGGCCTTGGAACTCAAGGCTCAGTTGAGCGTGGATGGGGCCTCTGGCTCACCAGCGTCTTAGCCGTCATCGTCGCGGGTCTCTTTGTCGCCGGACGCCTTGCACAGCGATTGACCAAGCGAAGTGGTCTGGGAATGGACGACTACATGATCGTCGCTGCCTTGATATCATCGGTCGTGCTCTCTGTAACAGAGTGTCAAGGTTAGTGGACTCGCATCACCTCGAGGGACACTCGTTAAATTCGAACAGCGGTAGTCTATGGATACGGAAGACCATGGAAATCCTTACCCGCCGATTCCCGCATCATCGCTCGCCAATGGTTCTACGGAGCAAACAGTAAGTAGATTCTCAACGACCGTACAATCCTTCTGGACAGCATGGAGTGCTCTAGGAGCCCGGCCTGAATGGCTACGAAAGGACATTTAGTGGAGATGGTGCAAAGCGTCACTACGAAGCTTACTGACCGTTGCAGTCGTCTACAAAGTCGTTCTGATGTTCAACAAGATCTCTGTAGTTTGTCTTTACTACCGAATCTTCGCCATAACCACCAAGTCGTTCCGTATTGCTTGTCACATCATGAGTAAGTGCTCTGACATGACACCAGTTCATCGGCTGACTTTGATGTAGACGCTTGGATCATCATCACCGGCTTCGCATTCACTATCGCGACCGTGTTCCAATGCACACCAATCGCGGCCTTCTGGGACAGGACTATACCCGGTGCCCGGTGTTTTAAGAATGAACCCTGGTGGATCTCCTATGCGACGGTTCAAATCACGACCGACTTTATGCTGCTTGCGATGCCTTTTCGGCAGATATTGAGTCTTTCTATGGGACGGGCTGAGAAGTTGGGCGTGGCGCTTGTGTTTGGCACTGGAGGCTTGTATGTGTCTGAGAGTTCCGTCAAAGGCCCATTGCTAACTTGCTAGTGTCACTTTCGCGTCTATATATCGTGCCACCACAATCGCACGATCCGCAAACAACCCCGATCCAACCTGGGGTCCCGTACCCGCGACAATATGGTCGGTGATAGAAGCAAATGCGGGTATCGTGTGTGCTTGCCTTCCTATGCTGCGCGCTCCATTCGTTCGCTTTTTCGGGCCACTTTTCGGCTCGGGCATAGGCACCAAGAACACTACGAAGCGTCAATCGTATCCCATGGGCTGGAAGAGCAACCATGGGCCGGCTGGAACCGGCAACAAGAGCAACGTGTCTGGCAAAAGTGCCTCTGAGCGAGAAAGCGAAGATGATGCACTGCCAGCGAGTAGGCTGGGCGAGCTTGATCGCCGGGGCAGTGGTATATTTGTCACGAACGAGTTCAGTATTGAGCGCAACGAGCTACAAAAGCAAGAGACGGACACAAGGTCGTGCGACCAAGACGGCGATACGAATACGGCGGTGAGCGTCAATGAAGAGAAGCCGGGGGGGAAGAGCCCATTCTACCATGTTTGAGATGACCACGCTACTTGTTCGCGCCCAGCGCGGCCGTGTTAGAGCTGGCTCTTCATCAGATACTGCAAATGCCGTCAAACAGACAGGCTGAGCGTTTTCGCCGATGTGCGCAGCCTGATCGTCAGCTCTCCCAATGGAGACAACTTAGTGTGTGTGTTTTCGGTCCTATACTAGACGGCCGCTAGCGAAAGCGACGCGCGATTTTCAATGGCCAATTCAGCAACCGCTTGCCTACTGACAGCCGGTCTACTCACATGGCCTCTTGACGAAACATGGCGCGGATGCTGGTTTCCATGCGTCTTCCGCGCACACGGTGGTGCAGATGGCTGCCGAGCGTCGCGATGATTTCCTACCGTCGGGGCGACAAAGGAGGATGAGGTCAGGTACGACTGGACAGCCCGCGCGGCCTTGGGCGATGTCGCGCAGACCGCCAACAGCTTCGGTAGTGTTACGACGTCTTCCTAGCCCTCCCAGAAACCTAGAGAGCTAGATAGCAGATGCAATGCAACGCACACTAGATCCCAGACACTTCGCGCGCCAGCAAGCAACAGTTTCCGCGTCGTGTTGCCGCAGAGAACCAGATAAGCACCGAAGATGGCTGCACGATCTAGATCGCGAGCCGCAGCAGAAGAGTGAAAATTTGGCAGCCGAATCTGCGGTCGCACGTTGACTCCCAACAAAGAGAGGCCGAGCAGTGCGGCATTTATCTAGCCCTGGCAACGTGTGGCGTCGAAGACACAAGAGTGCAGCAGGCAAAGGCGTGGCATGGACTGTTGCAATGCTTGGTTGCGGACAACGGGCGTGTTCGCAAATGAAGAGCGTGCAGCGAAAGCCAAGACAGGACAGAGGCTTGCCGATCGGTGCCCCGCTTCCTCTGCGCCACAGCTGGATATTGGTCTCTCCCCCAGACGTCATGCGCACATGCAGTGAATATCGACTTGACCGGATCCGTGATGTATCCTGATTTTCCTCCAGCTGGCGCGCGCGCTTCTGTGCTCTGCCATCGACATCTCTCGAGCTGAAGCCGCGACGAGCCCCGCCGACATGACGACCAAGAGTACCACCGACTTTGTCGAATCAACCGAGCCTGTCGGAGCCAAGACCAAGGCGCAGGTCCTCACCGACGTCTTCTCTCTCGCGACCCAGTTCAGCACTTGTGTTGAAGCTTTCAACCTCATCCATCCTTCCAAGGACCACGACCATGCGCAGAAGGTTGCGCTTGCCAAGCTCGGCCTTCAGCAGGGCAGGTTGCTGATCTTTGGCGATGCCGTGGGCATCTCTGCGCCGCCCGCGACGATTGCTCGACACATGATCCCCAGCCATCCGGGCATCACGAACCCGGATCCGCATCTGCCAGTCAACTTTGGCGTCCGAGACCCGAGGCTTGACGACGAGGTTATCAATGCAAAGGTGCGCAGGGCCCTGCATGAGATCGCCGGCCGCCCTAGCACTATGTCGCGCGATGAACTGATGAACGTATACGGCCTGAAGAGTCCAAAGACGTTCTCGCGCCTGGAATACCCAGCACTCGACACCAACCGACTAGAAGGCTTCCGCGAGAAGTTTGCCCTCCTCAAGGATCTCCTCGCACAGACGGGCGCGCGGGCGACTCTAAAGCGCAACCTGAGCATGACCACCTCGCATTGGACCGTCAAGGACACCACGCGCTTCAGCGAGTACGTCAAGGTTGTCCGCACCGAAGTCGATGCGCTCATTGATCTCATGGGCGTCAAGGAGCAGGTTGACCGGGGAATCCGATCCGATCTCAAGAGCATGGGCTGGCACCCTGACCTCACAGGACCAGCAGTGCGGCAAGACTGGGAGAAGCTGCGTCTGATCCGGGAAGCCTGCGTCGTCGATTATCCAGAGTACATCGATGTCATCGACAAAGCCATGTCGTACATCACCGAAGAAGTCAAGGAATCCAATCTCGCTCGAAACCGTGCTGTACTGGGTCTTTCAGAATCCAATGTGGATGCAGCAGGCGCGCGCCGCAAGTCAGACTACGATGTCCGCTCCATTCCGGCTCCTTCGCCAGCCCACGTCGCCGGACTCAAGCCCTCAAAGCCAGAAGCAAAATCCCACATCCAGCTGGCTGCCGAACGTGCCCTGAATCCAAACGCTGGCAAGGAAAAGCGCCCGGGTTGGCTCTCGGCTTTCAAATTCAAGTCGTGGTCCAAGAGCAGCAAAACCGCACACGACAAGCAGCGCTCGAACAGCGTTCCACATACTCCGACCGTTGACCCTCAGCGCTCCCTCTCAGCAGGCGAGGCACCAAATCGCGCCTCGGAAGACTCCAACACCCTCCAAGCCGTGCGCTCCAAGTCCCTTAGCGCAATCCCCAGCGACAGCACACCACAGCCTCCGCCTTCAAATCTAGACTCTCGCGTCCGCAAGCTCAGTCTAGATCACGGAGACATGGCGGGTATCCCGCCCATCCAGGAGAATGGCGGCGAAGTGACTAGTTTCCCAGCAAGAAGCGGGCTAGCTGAGTTCGACGACGATATGGACAAGAACGCGCTGGTGCAGGTGGACACGGCCAAGAGTGAGGGGAGCAAAGATGAACTGGAGAATGTCAAGACCGTGAATAGTTACATTGATCGGCATGATATGTATCCAGCTATAGGTCGCATTGAAACCAAGGATATCAGGAATGTTGCGCATACGCCGGGTCTTTAACGTCTGGCGCGTGTGCTCACGAGGCCAGTCTAGCGAGAGACGGGGAGTAATTTGTAATCACTTAGTGCATTTTGGTTTCAGAGGAAGAGAAGATATAGTTATAGGGTAACTCAGTGTCAGCCTGTAGATGCTGATTGTGTTCCAGAGCGAGGAGCTCACGAATGCTTCGCTACAGATTTATCATCATTTCCACGTCGACGGAGTGCGTTCAGAGTCATCATTCCATTGTTGAGCTCAACCATGATCTCGCTTACCGAGGGCAGCATCCGAAAGTCGACCAAATTGGATCACAGCCCCAAACATCCATAGATTGAGCCTTTTCTGCTTACCGTATACTTGCGGAGATGCTATGTGGAATGCTAAAGAGGCTCACTATAACCACAACACCATTTACATACCATCCGTGAAGTCAACACCACCAGACATATGCTCATACCAGCCTTGTTCTTTCTTTCCCCACGTGTCTACTCATGAGTACCCGATTGGCAGTTGTTAGGAAGACAGACTACTCGAGCGAACGGCTCTGCATACTCTGGAACGTCTAATGGCGTCACTCGTCAACGCTTACATGCCTTTCGTGAAGACGCTCTACCCATCAAACATGAAGCCATGAGGCCTGGAAGATGAGGTCTCTCTCAGTAGCGTTTTGATTCATTCGCGATACCTCATACAATGACCTGAAGTACGTAAAAATCTACGAAATGCATCAGACGGGAGCATCTGGAAACGGTCATAGCTGAGGAAGTGGAGACGTTTATAGACACCATGTGCGTTTGGGATGGCTGAACACGGGGCACTGATATACATCCAACTCTGTATCAAAGAAACATGTTGACTCGCATGAATGAACCATCATCGCCGCTGAGATGTCCCGCTGCAACGGTCCCTTTACGACCGGCAAGCGATGTCCATGTATTCAGTGCCTCACGCTTCGGCCTCGACCGCACCTTTGCCAACACCACTATTGTCGACATTTAAATCGTATCAACAAACGTCCAAATCCTATTCAAGCGCCCAAGGCGTGGTGAAATCCAGATCTGTCACCGCCAGGGGAAGGGCTAAGTGGTAGCTGACGTCAAGCTACCCAATGAAGGGAACAGGCTTCCGCAGAAATAATACGCATAGCTATATTATACCCGTGTTTCCATCATCCGAATAAACATCGTATGTTCTGCAATGCATGCAGCCGCGGGATCTGATAGTGGTGGTGCAG